CAGGGGTCATGTGCATATCTCTGCAAAACTGACAAAAAAGTGAAAATAAAATTAGAAACTAAAACCAATGTAGAGTCAGAAAAAAGAATTTAAAAACTAGCGAGAGGAAGCAGTACTAAGAGCCTGTTAAATGACTCGCTCTGTATGACAGTTCCTACTGTGCTATCAGGGATTTCATGTTCTTTTTTGACAAATATTAAGTTGTGAGAGAGAAATAAAAAATTTAAGTTTTTTCTTGTTTTCTGTGTTCTTTTCCAAAAATATAAATAAATAATAAACTAGGGATACTGGGAGAAAGACTTGGAGAAACTAAGAGAGGGAAGCATTATATCATTGATTAATGTACATGTGAATATGACAGTTCTATTATATGAGATAAATAAAAAGTGTTGCATATAAATAAAAAGGTGATACATTTAATGTTTGATATTTAATAGGCTATTTATCAGTATTAATTCTCACTGTGCCCCAGTTTATCCATCTTTAAAATTGAGAGAATATCTATCTGCTCCACACTGTGTTTTGTGACTAGACTAAATGAACATCTGTATAACTTTCCTGCACAGAAAGAAGCAGAATCATCTATTACATGACCTCGGTTCTGGCAGATAAGGCTCTTTACCAACCACTGCTTGCAGAAGCTGTGGGCACAAATTAGGATAAGCACTTGTGGGAATAACAGCTCCCAACATACCAGACTGCTGAACCCTTTGAGAAAAAAACCCTCCTAAGAATCCAGCCACAACAATCCATCTCCTTCACCATCCAAATTCTGGAACACTCCTGAAACCTCTGTGACAGCAGCTCCATGGCAACAATTTCTACATCAACAGTTTCCTTGTAATCACTGCAGAACCATGCACCTCTGGCTTTCAGAACAGCTAAGGCAGGGCACTACTGTTTAGCTGGGCTCACATCTTTAATCACACTCATCATGTTTGGCAATCTCATATGTGGTGCTTTCTGACAAGAATGTAGAAATCACATCAGATCTTTTTGTATCTTCTGGTAAGATCCATAGCAGCAGAGACCAATGTTAATTGTATGTTTTAAAGCAAAAAGAGAGACACTCTTGCTACAGCATTTCATGTAGCATACCACACTAAGGAAATTAGAGTGAATGACAAATG